GTAATTGACATTTAATAAGCTTTTCCTTAATCTCTCCTTCTTATTCAACATTTTCGCTTATCCAGCGTTCTTCCAGCCCATTTATGTTGGATAAGTGAGACTCTACTGTATTTGGGATTTTTCACAGTGGGCATCGAAATGCTGTGGCCCAAATCAACTGTTGGTATACGTGGAAGGGGAAGAGAGAATAAAAACACAACAAACAGCAAGACATGCTCTGATAAAGCCTGTGTAAATTTTGTTTATTTGTCTTTTTCATGGGAAAAAGTTTAAATAACATTGAAAAAAACTAGGAAAGATTTTATCAATTACCAGGGTACTCTTTTTTTAAACTTTTTATTTTCCATTTGTGCGTGTGTATAGTTTTCAGTGACCATTTTGGTTTCTCAATATTTTCTCTGCATGCAGCTCTCAGGAGCTGCCAGCGCTGTGATGGAAGAGTCCTACTGCATACTGGGAATGTAGAGAAGAGGTACTGAGTTTGAAGAGCTCAAGGCATAAGGCTGCTTATCAACAGAGAAAGAGAGCATATACATTAGGGTATTTTTCTTCTTCTCATCCTGTGTTCCCTTGATATGCGGTCACAGTGGAAGGTCAGTTGACTTTGAGCTCCTCAAATGAAACAGATGGTGACCAATTTCCCTTTAGTTTGATGGTAGGCTGTTGCGGTGCATTCTCTTTCTTCAAAAGAAGGCGTTTCGGCTTTTATTGGTAAGGAGACAGAATGAAGGAACTTCTTGAAGAACAAGGGGAGAAGTTTGCTACAAAGTAGGTAGGACGTGCAAAAATGTCCACCCACACAAAGCCCTGCCCTGAAACACCAGGCTTGAAAGCTCTGGAGGAGAAGGTCTCTCAACAAAGGGCACTTGAAAGTATGGCAGGCGGGTGCAATCTCTACCTCCCGACCCTCTTGGGCCAGAGCAGAGTATCATATGACCTAGAAACCTGGTAGGGTGTTGTTCCCCTAGTAGGAACTGGGTAGGCACATGAGGAATACAGGTGGACATCCTGGTTACATCTGCAGTCTTGGGTGGTGTGCCATAGATGAACCTTTGCCCACAGTTCCAATGTTAACACCCTCAAGGTCTGGAGTGAGTAGAAATATCTGCACAAGCCCAACATACCTCCCTAAGATCCTCCATATTTGCTTCTTCCAGTAGTTGGGAAAGTCCTGACAAAGCAACCCTTCGATGTGGCACATTGGTGTATAAAGGTGATGCAAAGTTGGACAGCAGGAAACATCAGATTGGGTGATGCTTTCCATTGACCCTCTAAATCAGCTAGGGTCATTGTAGGCATTTTCTCTTGATTCTTTCTTCACTCACAAGAACAGTTGACTCAGGTGAACAGCACAGTATGTAAACTGGAAGCTCGTGGATCTCAATCATGGCAAATCCTGCTACCTGTATGGTATTTTTCAGATCTTTGGAGACCATGAAGAGCATCAAAAGAGGTGATCTGACAATTTCTGACTTGCGTTGATGGAACAGGTAGAAGGAACAGGTAGATGTCAAAATATCAGCAAAACTGTTACAGGCTACATTTCAACCAGAGTTTAGGAATAATTGATTAAAATTTAATTGGCTAACCCTGTTTCACTGTTTCCAGTGACAGTTGAAAACTTTGTTATATTAGATCAAATGTTAGTAATGCTATTTTGTTCAGTGTTTTTTGTTTAAAATAAAGAAATAAAATTTCTTGGGGGTTTTAAGGTAATTTTGGAGGGAACTGGCCATTTTTGGTCATTTGTAGTGATATATAAATGATTTCTTGAATTTAATTATTTAATGTATTAAATTAACAAATATATTGTGTAAATTTATCTTACAGTTTTAACAATAACTATTTTCTCTTTAATAATTTAATGCCAATAAGTAAACATTAGCACTGTTGTTTCCCAAGCTCTGATTTCAAGCCACATTCAACACAGAACTCAAGTTCCTACATATTGGAGTGATTGAACAAATACATAATACAGCCTCTCCCAATCTCACACCCTTTGAGATACATTGGACTATAACTCCCATGGTCCACAGCCACCACCGCCTGCTAGGGCTGTTTAGGTGGGGGAGATGGTCATTTGGGTCCAACCCACCCTGAGGGAGGGCCTAGGCTGTACAAAGTCAATACAATCAGTTTTAACTGCTCAGGCATTATACCCTGTTCATGACAGAAGAAAACACAAAAAATCTTCATGTGGACTGCTATACCTCACCCCCAGCTTTGTTTCGCAGGTTTGTATTTCTGGGTCTGACAGATGGAAAGAAAACAATACACCTTTGGAACCTGAATCAGTTCTTTTTCAAGTTTGGCTCTCAAACTAAAATTGCTTTCGTTTTTGAAACACAAAATTCCCAAGAACATAATCCCATTATTCTATTCTATACCTTACATGTTGATGTGTCTTCTATAATCTCATGTTTTACTACTTATCCAAATATTTATACTATTGATCCATAAATCCATATGCATTTCATCTGATAACTGTGATGGGTAGAAGTGAAACATTCCAGCAAAATGGATATCCAGCTATTGCTACAGCATGTATAAAAAGTTGATCCATTTTGAAAACCATTGCCATGATGTGGTCAGTGGTTTGCTTGCTTGATTTTCAAAGTCCAAAAAAAATTAGCAAAAGAAAGTTGTAGTGTTCCCCATAGGGAAAAAAAATCTTGATAGATGCTATACATTTCTTTCAATAGTGTGACATTTCGTCTATAAGTGCCCATATAAATATTTTTCAGCTACAGTTTGATGCTTTCCAGTTAAAAACTATTCCTTGTTGTGTTTTTTTAATAGCTATTTTATCAAAATGGGAAAAGCTGTGTGGAATCATGGAGATTTGGAGAATCCTAAATTACTAGTGTAGTGATAACAACCACTTTTAATGAGAGAAAACAGGTAACCACAATTACCTCGATCCAGTGAAAGCAATCTACAGTGAAGATATAAATCCTTCACTATATCCTCCTCACGTGCAAAGCCATATAATTGTTGTGGGGAGAAAACAAACATTTCTCTGCAGTATTTTCTCCACAAAACAGGGATGGGCAAATTGGAGACCATGGACTGTATCTCATGAGTAACATTGCCTTCAAGGTGGCATTTTTCCAAATTTTGGGGGCACAAAAGGCCTTTTTTTAACAGGATCTATACTAGAAGTGATTTCCAAATACTTCCTGGGAAGGCCCTAAACAAAGAAAGGCCTTTCTAGGGTCTGAAATAATCTAAATGTCTACAAACTTGGCACATTTCTTCCACATCCTGAACAGGATTTTTGAGGGCAATTTATTTTGTTTTATTTATGGTGAGGGCGGTTGTCCTTCATGGTCTTTTAGGGAGCTAATGCAGACCCCTCACCCCTCACAATTGTCTGCCCTACTGCATGTGAACATCCCAAAGTGCTGCAGAGGAATTATTACAAAGAAAAACACATGGAATTTTGCAGAGAAATGTGTTTTCAAGTAGGCAACCCAACTCCTCTCCAACATTTTGGAACACCACCATACCCCTACTGACAGGAAACCTGCTTTTCTGATCTGTTATCCAAAAATTGTGAAGATAATCTGCATTCCTACATCTTTAGTAGGAAACTGGTTTCTATATGTTAGCCTGCCTTGGCAGATCCAGAAAGTATTGCTGATAGACATCAAAGGGATGTTCACACAAGCAGTGCACTAATCCATGCCCAATGATCATGTGCTGCGTCTTAGAGCATGGAGGGCAACCTTTCTTATATCAAACATGATGTTCCTTCGGGAATCATCTCTCAGGAGTCACATGTTGACAGGATGTCGGGCTGGGAGAGTTAGGGCACATCCAAACAGCCCCTTTAATGTGGGAGTTACCACAATAAAAAGGGGGCTGTCCAAATGACATCCTGGACAAACCACAAACCAGGAAAACCCTGGTTTGTGGCAAATTAATTTGTTAGTGGATTTATTCCGYACCTTCTTGGAAGGCATGGGCTAAACCCACTACTTCCAGTGCCTGGACTGCAGTCCAGACAGTAGTCCCACGGTTTTCCKGGCTAACTTAGCCCGGAAAACTGTGAGAACACCAACCCCTCCTCAAAAGCCCCATAAAGCACTGTAAAAAACAAAAGAACTTACCTGGCCTCCATTAGAGGGCTCCTGGAGCTCTCCTGGTGCGTAGAAATGATGCGCCAGGAGAATGGGGAGGGGGAGGAAAAATTGCTCCCATCACCCCCTTCTCCTAGCATGTCATTTCTACGCACCAGGAGAGCTCCGGCAGCCCTCTAATGGAGGCTGGATAAGTTCTTTTGTTTTTTACAGTGCTTTTTTGGGGGGAGGGGTTAGAGTGTCCAGGTATTCTCCTGGAAAATTCAGGAGAACACATGCTTTCTGGGGTATGTGTGGATAAGGGCTCAGGAATATCCATTTTTTTAAACGCGGACACTCCTGGGGTAAAGGGCTGTATGGAAGTGCCCTCAGTGGATTCCAACATCATGCATAACTCCTTATTAAATCTAAAATGGATTCACCACAGCACTGACATGAAAGCCATTGGGGAGGCTAAAACTTGAAATAGTTGAAGAGCAAGAACAGTGTTTTCCAATATTTGGTCCTCCAAGTGTTTTGGACTTCAGATCCCACAATTCCTTGCAGCTTGTAAGATGGCTAGGATTTTGGGGGGTTGAAGTTCAAAACACCTGCAGGACCAAAGGTTGGGAGCCACTGAGGTAGAAAAAGCAAGCTCACATTCCCTCCTTTTATCTTCCACCTTCTGTTTCCTTCCCAACCTCAATCCCTGCTCTGATATTTCTTCTTCTCTCCTTGACACTTTTTTTTCTTCCTCTCATTTTGTTCAACCCAACAATCTCAGTGGAAATAAGATTTCTGTACTTCCCAAGACATATTGTGGGGATATGTGCACTTCACCTAAAGGATCCACAAACAGATACATTTGTAAGCTTACTGTGTTGCCAAGAAACACAGTGTTCCCAAAATGATACCATTTTTTTAAAAAACAGAAATGAATTAAATTAACACAATTGTTTTAAAGTATAAAGAAACACACTTTAGCCAATGGGAAAATATGCACAAATTAAGTAAATGGTGCAAACATGAAGAAAAAAAACATGAAAAAATGTGCAAATTTCAACATGGAAACAAAAAAAAACCCCTGAAATCACTCAAGGACAAGAAGAAAACCCAGGTGAGAAATTAACTCAGGAGAATCAAGACAGAGAGAGTTTCACAGGCCTAACGAACCATATGAAAAGAGCTTCTGGAATAAGGCCAAGGAGGTACATGAGAACAATCTGAAGGCCACATAGTAGCTGCAGGTTGCCCACCATACCTAAGGGAACTACAGAAATTTGCTTCTGTATTAGCTTAAGAGCTAGGATGTATTTGTCTGTAGGCACCCACACTTGAGCCATAGCCTTCTGCTGCTCCTGCTATTCTCTGGATCAAGGACATTTGTACGTGTTTTCGTTGCATTCCTTGAAAGCTGGCATGGGTATGATTTGTTTTTCTACATCACTTTTAACTAACTAAGATTGTCCATCTCCCAGCAGCCACCCCCAACAGCAATAAGAACTGTGAGAGAATGGCTGAAAAGTTCAAAACACAGACACTTCCCTTCACCTTGTACTTAATGATTCCTGCAAAGAAGAAAAGTATTTCTTTTAAAAAAGCATTTCTAATATGAAGTGTCTGGGGGGGAACTGGTGGTGCTGTTAATTTGTGTTCAAAGAGAACAGCCAGTATTAATGGGACGGAGTAATTTGTTTCATCTCTTCTAATCTTGCACATTAATAACAAGCTCAGAAGGCTTCCAGCACTTAGTAATTACTCTAGATTGCAGCTGCTTGGAGTTTCTGTACCCCAGGCCTTGAAACCGCAATCCTATCTACACTTACTTAGGAGCAAGCCCTACAACTCACAGTGGGACTGACATCTGAGTAAACATATGTAGGATCTGCCTGGATACTTCTCGGTCTTTTCCTAAACCTAGTTTTCTATAAATCTCTTCTTGAGGCAGAATACAGCAGAATCCTCTTGCTCCCAATCTGTTTTATCACCGGAGTGCTGAATAATAAAAATACATCCTAGATCCTCAGATTTACAACAATTAATATTGAGAGAAAGAGGAGTGCACAGTGCCTGTGTGAAGTTCACACTGTAGGGATGTGAACTGTTGAATTCCACCTGGCATTAACTCCTATTTTGTAGTGTGCCGAGGAATTCAACCATGGCTGTGACTCTAACATGGTTTTTTATGTTCGGTGCTTAGAAACAAAGGTGAAGGGGGGTCTTTCAGATGAACAAGACTCTCCCGAAGTCTTTGCTTGCTTGCTTGCTTGCTTGTTTAATAACAGTCTTTTCAGCCATTGTGTATTCCAGCTTCTGGCAGCCATGATCCAGTTGAAGTAGATGTGGAATGGATCCATCTACTCCAGCAGACCTATAGTTTTCTAAGAATGGGGTGGGAGGGTTTGTGTTTTGTTTTTGGTCACACCACAGTGCTAATTGTAGACGACTCTTCTGACTTCTTCTGCTTGCTAGGCAAAGATTTGAGATATTCTAGGTGTCGTCGGGCATCTTCTTGGTTCTGCCTGACGTAATAGATCAAGTATGAGATCACCATGGCGAACCAGCCGAACATGGTGACCAGCATGGCGATGTCTGTGGTCTTTTTGTAGATGTTGCAGAAGTCTATGTCTCCAACTAATTGTAAGAAAGGCTTGCCAACATGCTCTTTTCGGGCAGAGGCATCACACACAATACCATCAGAGGTGCCAGCAACCAGCTCGACCCTCTCAATGAGTTGTTGGAGTGTGCAGTCACAGAGCCAAGGATTGCTGGATAGGTTGGCTTTGGCTTTGAGAGAGTTAAAGACATCTTTGTTGACCGATACTAATTTGTTGGAAGAAAGGTCCAAAAAATGCAGATGTTCTGACAAGCCCCGGAAGGCTCCAACCTCCACGCGACTGATGACATTGTGCGACAAGTCTAGTTCCACTAGCAGAGGCAAATTCTGAAAGGCGTCATTGGGCAAGAAAGAAATCTGGTTGTAATCCAGGTACAATTTGTTGGTATCATTAGGGATATCTTTCGGGATAACTGTAAGTTGAGCTCTGCTGCAACGGAACGTTTTGAAGCCATCTTCAGTGGAGGGATAGCAGCCCTTGGGAAAGGTGGTGGCCGAGTGGAAGCAAAAGGCCATCAGAACAAAACTGTGGAGGAGCAACCACATGGCAAATGAATGGTAGAGGAACCAGTCCAGAAAAGGCATGTCGGGGCATCTGGAAGACAGGGCATCCACTCCGTCATCAGTTGCTTCTTGTACTTTCTTCTGCCCCTCAGGGAGTTTTGAAGATGGCAGCTCAAGGGACACTATCTGAAAGACAAAGGATGGGAGGAAATTAGATTTAAAGCAACACTTAATCTTCAAAATGAAATATCCATGTCCATTTGGGATCTACCCAGTTTTGAGCCCTGCATGGGATATAGTCTGATCTGCTTCAGTGCATTGTCTGGTTTGTTCTGGACTTTCTGGTGAGTTTTTTAAACACACTATTTCTGGCTTAATATGCATTACAGCATGCATTGGGGGTGTATATTTTGTGAACACCCCACTGTCGAACCACATTCAAACTGGATTATATTGTCTGTGTAGAACTGCCCTAAGTCACAATGCTGTGCAGAACTCATGGAACTATTAAAGTGATACTTGTATTTATGGACATGGGTGAATCATATTGATAGATATTTGGAACAAGTAAGATTTTGTTTTGTTTTATTCCTAAACTCATAACTTTCTAGACTCCTATCAAATACTATTTCTTTATTTTTATTACATGCCAAGTGCCATGCTCTAGATCCAGACAGATTAAAAGGAAGAAACAGAAAAAGAAAAGAAAGAAGACCTTACACGTGCCCTAGTTTGTGCAACAAAGCAAAGAAATCTTAATCACAGAGGAAGTTCAACTAGCAGTGAATTGTTCTCTATGCAAATGTCTTTCAAGATCATGAGTACTAAATTCCCCAGCAGAGTGTCGAATTCCACCACTTAGCAGATGACAAACCCTGTCCTGGTTCTGGGATGAAACAGAAACAGCAGCTCAAATGACTGGGTCAGGATCTGATAAAGTGACACCAGTCAGCAGTTACTGGTTTTTGATGCTCTGAGGCTCTTCTAATCACTTCAATGTATTGCCAGGGGAACTTCTCAGACTAACCAAAAGGAAATTTTATGCCTAACCTCTGTTCTGTTCATGTAATGGCAAAATAAAACAAATGTGTTCATGGGTAGGATCCAAAGGACTACTCAGTCATAGTTCTGATGACTTCTAGGATTATATTTGGGGTATAGCAATGGAGAGAAGTTGTACTGATATTGAAGAGTGGTAGGTGTTGAAAACCAACCATGTTTGGAACTCTTATGCCAGCAATATTTGTATTCCCTTAGTAATTTTTCAGCCCCATTGTTGGAATGCTGAAACCGCATTTCTAAGCTCATGTAAGGTAGAAATTTGGGGACTGAATGAAAATGTAGTGGGGTGAGTGCAAAATTTCTATTTGAGTTGCAGCACCTTTAATTTCCTTCTTCCCCACCCTGTTAAACTATATTGGCCATGCTTCACTTTTTGCAGATGTGATTATTCACAGATTTGATACTCTCCTAAGTATCTCTAACTCCTCCAGCACAACTCTACAGACATTTTCTTATCATGGTTGATGTTCTCTATTTGAATTGCATACACTGGGCAACTGTGCTTGATGTTTAATAAAGTATGACCTCAATATCTATGGGATTGGTATCCATGGTTTCACATCCACTACTGACAAAATAGGCATTTTCTGGGTTAAACAGCACTATCCTATAGTATTATTTGGCCAGAGGTCCATTTCAATAGGGTTCACTATTTTCTGTGGTGTCATTTATCCACACAAAGTCCAGGAATGTATCTCCCTCGAATACAAGAGGCTTACTCCTTCTTTGGAGGCTTTCAAACAAAGGTTGGATGGCCATCTGTCAGAGGTACTTTGAATTTTCCTGCTTCTTGGCAGGGGGTTGGACTGGATGGCCCATGAGGTCTCTTCCAACTCTATGATTCTATAAGTAATGACATCATCTGAGGCATCTCCAAGGGAGGATCTCAAGAACTCTGGTTTCAGCCCAAAATTTCTTGGACTAGAATAGTCTTCACCTGGCAACCTTAAACACCATGGTGATTCCAGAAGGCAACTTTTCTAACTGAACACATTGTTGTGAGTGGAGGGAAGGGTGTTGGCCAGCAGAAGGTTAATTGAACCTCCAAAGTTGGCAAAACCTGGTGGCCTGGCTCTGGTCACACACATCTTTTTGAAAGGAGATTACCGGTGGTGTGTCTCCATGACAACTAATAATCAGGCATTTGCTTCTTGACACAGGACCCTTCTGGAAGGTTTTGAACAAGAAAAACCAATCAGAGAAAGAGGCAGCCCTCCCTTTTTTCCAGCTAAGGATGATGTAATCCAGGCTTCTGTGTGTGGAGACAGAGCGCAGTTTCAGTGAGATTTAGGAGAGACAGCGTTGGAGAGGCAAGATTTGGCACTGAGGGACAGAGCTTGGAAAGATTAGAGTAGGACCTACATTTTTGTAATGGTTAGGAGTGTAGGACCCCCCCTGAAAGAGGAAAAACAGTGAATTAAAAACACTTTCTTTTTACCTGACAGAACAACTCTCTATGAATCTATAGTTCTAAAAACACCTAAAAATGTGTTCCCTCTCAGAATCTCTAGGTTTTCCAGTGTAACTTTGGGATCCCTGGAAGGCCTAGACATTCCTAAAAAGAAGATAGAATAAAATTCACAAAAAATCAAGCTCACAAATGTTGATATTTTGTTACACAATAATTCCCACAATCCTCTTTCCGTGGTCATGCTGTGCAGTGGGATTTCGGGGGCCTGTTGTCTAACAAAATAATCTTTCTAAGCTCTGTTGTAGACTGAAGGCACTTCCAGACAGCCTCAAAATGCAGTTTAAAAATCACGGGACTTGACAGCAAGTCCAGACACAGACCTGTCAGTCCCAAGAAATGGTTCTCCACCATCCTGACACTTTCCTTTGTAACAAATTTTACAACTCCTCAAGATAGATGGGGCACCTCCGGTGGAAGTTTGTTTTTTTAAAAAAAATATTTCCGAGATGTGTTGGACCTCATATGCGTTCATGCGGGGATCTAAACATACACATAAGCAAATTTCTTATTCTCTCTCCTCACCCAACTCTAAATTTAAGCTCTGTTTAATATTATAAAGATATGAACAAAGGAATTGTTCTAATGACAATTGCTTTCCAATTTAGTCACCTGCGTGTCCATGGTTCTGTTTTTGGACACCCCGATAAACCATTTCAGGATTTTACAATGGCACATGTGTTGGAGCAGTCCACACCAAGGGATCAGAAGGAAATCACATCTTTTCCATGACTGCAGGGATATACAGTCATACAAAGATGTGCATTTTTGGGGTGGAATCTGGTTTTAAACACACTTTTTAAGCATGTGCTTTTCAGCTGTTAACCTGATTCCACATGGATTTTACCAAAATGTCATTTAGCAAGCCCCCTTTTATCCCAGTTTCTTCCAGGTTTTTAGGTATGTGTGGAAGGGCCCTACAAGCAATTAAAAGTGCTTCTTTTTCTTGTATGTTGGAGCAGTACAGTCTGGCTATTGAATAGAATATTTTAGCTGTGCATTCACTAAGCAGGTTGATCAGTTTCATTATTTCCAACATTTGAATTTTTTAAACTTTGAGTTCTTTGCATCTTGAGTAGAATACTATTTCAAAATTCAGATCATTTTTTCCAAATGAATTCAAATCAAGTTCTCTTCCTTATTCGCTAGCTAATTTAAACTGATGAGGGCAAGTCTTGATTTATGTTGGAGTTGGAGTCTTGGACATATAGCATAAACTGAAGCTGATGTAAACAAGGAAAACAGGAAAACGTTGGAGACCCGGGAGATGTGTTCCAACATACCTGAAATGGTCCCAAAGTTTCCAAAAGGTTTAAAACATTAAAAATCAGCATCTTCCTTTTCCAGGCTGCAGAAATCCCACTCTTACAACATCTTAGTTTCTTGTCATCCCATCTAAGCAAGCAGAGGAAAATCCTTCCAGCAACACAAAAACTCCAGTTTGTTCATTCCCACATACTACTTCTGAAGTAACTTTCCATCAGGCAAAGGAAACTCATTTTGCCATCAACTGTAAGATTCAAGTTTCTTCCTTTTTCCTATGTTCACTTTATAAGCAGGCAAAGGATACTAATTCCTTCCAGGAGCAGTAAGACTTTTTTCCCCCATGAACTGTGAAGCAGATTTCCATTTACTTATTTATTTCTACAGAAATGTTAAAAATTGAATTGTTGCAAGGCAAATTGACAATCACCTGTACAGCTTTTTGCATCATGTTGCATCTGCCTGTATTAAAGATGAACATTTCAAGAAAAGAGGTGCCTGTTCTTATGTTGGCAGTAACATAACTGAATGCATAAGAGATCAATTTTTTTTATATTTAAAATGGAAACTTGTAAGAGCATGCGCATAGAGAATACAGTTAATTTGCTACATTTATTCTGATTCTCTTTTAAAAAAATCTTTCTACTCCCATTATGTCGGAAATTGTGAATTTTGGTTTGTTTTTCATATCAGGAGTGACTTGAGAATCTGCAAGTCACTTCTGGTGTGTGAGAATTGGCTGTCTGCAATGGCTGATCTGATGTTCTTACCATCCTTGTGGGAGGCTATCTCAAGGCCTGCAGGACGCTGGAGCGACAGAGGGGTCTCAAAAGGCAGAAGCACACATGAAAAAGGAAGGTCAGTCTGTGCAGAAAAAGGGTTTAACCCTTGCGCAACCTAAGGCCATGATTTGACAAATCTATCAAGTGTACAATAAGATAAGTTCGACAAATCGCAGCTAAATGATTGTGTACTTGCTACGGCAACAATCAAAAGTAGCAGAATGCAAATCACTGCAGCGTTCCTATTCAACAGAGAAGTACTAAAAATCTCCAAATCATAACACTATGTAACACAATTTTTGTTCCTGGTTATAAATGTCATTTCCTAATTGGTTCTATCATAAAAACATGAGAAAAGTTTATTAAACTGCAAAAACTTGTTTTTGTGGGACATCCTGCAGCACGTTTTGCTATAGCTTTTCAATGAACCATTCTGGCCCTACCTATTTTCATGACCACATCCTCTTATGTACCTGCATGAGCTTTAAGATCTGCCAAGAAGACCCTCATCACAGTC